ACAGGGGTTAAATATGGGCACACAAGTCTGGCTTTTTTGTATGCCTTGCATGTGGCTTGTGTGTGTTTTCTGGTGTGTGTGGTGTTTTGGTCTAATCCCTGGTGGAGAGAAAGGCTTCTTGGACCCGTCTAGACCGATTTGTAATCTACCTGTCTGGATGGTTGCCTCCCCCATATGATAAGGCTTCCATTATAGGGCTGGGGATGTAGGCCGGCAGGCGGCACTGTGAGCTCAGCAGTAACACACAACACACACAACACAACACATGTGGGTCCAGGGTGTCACACAAACACAGACAAGACACACAAGTATTCTCTCTCAAACACAACAGTTATCGACACATCTGGGAGAATCTAAACTGGGTGTGTAATCAGGGTGGGAGATGTTTTGGGAAGTTTTGGTCTGCGTTGTGTGTTTGTAATAACTGGCATAGAAGAGAGCCTTTGTTGTGGTAGAGTATTAGTTTGAGAAGATGTCCTCATCACACAGGACAAGACACACAACACAAACACACACACACACACACACACACACAACACACTGTAGATGCTCAGGGACTGTTTCGTGGTGAACAAATAGGAGGAAGCTGGGCTGCTTGTTTGTAATATGATAATGTTCATGTAATTATTGTTCCTTTCTTGCCTGGCTGCTGGCCGCACCCCATGGGATGGTGGAGGCATAGTGGCGGACCACAGACAAAGAAAGAAATGAAGTGCAGAGACGGAGTTTTAGGCTCTTCGATGTGCAGAAGAGAAGGCTTAACAGCCTTAAAAGCGTTCCATTCCATAACACTATGCTGAAGACTTAAATGGAAAGACTAACAGCCGGCTCCATGTACACATATCACACTGGATGGAAGATTCCATTTGGAAAAGGGATCAACAAGGAAAAAGAAAACATACTCTATGTAAGAGGATTTGTGACGCATTGGCTAAACGTTGGAACAGGATTATTTCACACTGGTGTAAGTTGAGTCCACTGTGTAGAGATAGGACAATTGTAGTTGTGAATAAGTAGCGTATTTTATATATTATAGTAACATTTGTTTTTTAAAGAAAAAATACACTAAAGTACAACACACAAAAACCAGTGGGAACGTTTTCACCAAACCACAGTTATTTTTGGAACAAGAGTAATGGAGTTATTATTAAGGCACTCCAGGCTTTTCTAGTAGGTTAGAAGTTTCATTGGTTGTCATGGTAGGCGACAGTGTTGTGATTTGTTGCACTTCAAGGTGGGTGAATGGAGACATGAAACTGTCCTCAGGTTCTGTGGACATTATTCCAGTCCAATGACCATGAGATGTCGTCCTTAGACTTGTGGCCCCTTTTCCGCATCATGTAATGATTTTCAGAAGCAAGACAGGAAGTTCTGTTACAAATTATAGTGTCGTTAATGGAGAAATGGAGCCTACCTTGGCTGAGTGTATTAGCTCAGTAAACAGTTTCCTGATGGGTTGTATGGTCTAATCTCTAAGTTGTCAAGGTCTTCTTCCATGCAGTAATGGAATGTATCATTAACGTGACAAATGATCGTCCCGTTTACAGGTGAAAATATGAGACCATAAAGCAGTGGTAAGCTTGAGTAGGGCGGGGGGTAGCGGTTTGTGATTGAAGTCATTCGTCAGTGAGGTCAGTCCAGCTCGCAAACGCACCAAGACTCAGAGTAACAAAATGTCAAAACTAGTGCCAGGTGCTGATCGAAATAGTTGGATCCAGATTTGTTAGCTGTGAGTATGGATATTTTACTTAAAAGAACTCTTCAGAAACATGCAATGTTCGTGACTTGTGTTATCTGGCAGTGGTGGTTGAGATTGTGTGGAACCAGGTGAGCTACGGACGAGTCCAGAAACTGGAGGCTTCACAAACGGACGACTACCCCACCGCCAAACCCGGCATGGCAGGTTGAGCGTCACCAAAGGTTAACATCTTGATACAAAAGGATAGCTTTTTGGATTGGACGACAACGGTAATCCTTGTGTGTAGAACGATGATCAACTCACAGGAACCCCGGCGAGTGTAGATGTGAGATTGACTGAACTGTTCGATCCTACACGGAAAACGCTCTCTCTGCCTCTCTCTCTCTACGTCTCTCGGTATAAATGCCGCTACCTTCAGCACTTCTCTCTCATTGATCGGGCAGGTTTAGCTGACATCATCGTTCCATCTCCATCTCTTTCTTTTTCATTCTCTCTCTCTCTTCATCCCCTGTACATCAACTCCTTCTACTCTCTCTCTCTCTCTCTCTCTCTCTCTCTATCTCTCTTTCTCTCTCGCGCTGGCTCTCTCTCTCCCTCCTTTTTTTGCTTCCCACTGCAAACAACAGTTTGAAACATTTAGAAGCGGTTACGACCAAAACCAGAAGGTCTCTATTTGAGGAGTAGCAGTTCAAATAGATGATGTGAATACCAACAAAAATAATTGTGCCAGCCACCCAGGCCAGCCATACAATGCGTCATCAGACCTGGGTTCCCTAGAACCTAAATCAATATTAGAAACTAAACCTGACAAACAAAGCTTCTAAAACTGGACTAAAATCTGTCCCATCATCCAAGAGATAACACAAGATCAAATCAGGAGTACATCACAGTCCCTTTATTTGATCATTGCTCACTCCTCGTCTGACCCAGATATCGTTCCAGTCTGCCATGTTCCAATGCTTTTATTTCTGCTCTGAGGAGCAGGAGGGACCATCAAAGTTCGCCATAGAGCTGTTAACACCTGCAGACTTGCATCTGATCCAGCTGTTCCGTCATCATCAGAAAGGGACATCACTTACGTCATGTTTCGCTAATGACATGTTTCCACTATTCCCCCTCATTTCCTGCAACTCTCATGTCCTCATTGGGAGGGACTAAAATTCAAAGACAAGATGCAAGGCAAGGGAAGGGTGGACACATTTAAGAGAATTGCGACGTACCTCAAACCATCTGAGGGGAGAGCCATCTTTTTGTCTGTCTCTCTGTTGTTATTTTTCCCTGTGTCTGACTGCTGTCTCACACAAAAAAGCATTTTAAAATTCATTCATAATTCGTTTCCCTACAGTGTAGGTCCAACAGAGAGTGTATTTCATACACCAACACCACAGAAACGATAACTGGATAAGTGGTTGAAGCTTGTGGCACAAGTGCTATGAATGCAAAGTTAAAAAAAACATTTAACACAGTTCAACTGTATGAAAAAATGTAATGTAATGTGAAAAACTGAAGAGATCTGGGAAAAAAATGTCAGCCTGCAACAATGTAGTTGCTCAATTGTGAATGTTGATCAGAACTTTTCTTGCTTGCCGGTGCCAGTAGAGCTAACCGATTTGATGAGTTAAATGAGACAGTCCAACCAATGGCCACATCGTTCCCAGCTTATGGGATGCAGAGCAGGATAAAGCTAGTGTTTCGTCTGCAGTGTACAGTTCACCTATCGTTTAGGCTATAATAAATCTTGCTGACATAAATTCATAGTGAACATCCCAGCAAACAGTGAGGTTGGGAACCTGCTGTTTTTCTAATGTGCAACATAAATTGTTGGGTGAAAAAGGGTCATGACTGATTCTGACTGGCTCCAATGGGCTTTTTGCTATAGCCAACCAAAACTATTTGTCTTTTATTGGACCTAATGGCTCAGATTGTGATATTACCGATTTGCTTCAGGTCTTTATGACTGTCAGAGTATGTACAGTAGTAGCAGTTGTTCCATCAGTTCCGCAACTGAGAGAGAAAAAACAAACCTGTCACATGATTCCCACAATTTCCACAAATTGCTACATCTGAGTGCTGTTCTAGGGCTTGTTCCAAATATAAAGCTGTTGCACACAGCCAACAATAGTCGACTGACCTCTGAAATACCCAGTCATTACATGACGTCACCACCATCCATTTTCCACCACTTATCTGGGTATGAGTTGTGGTGAGATTAGGCCCAGAAAAGTAGCACAGACATCTATCTCCTAATATTGGTGTTTGGGATTGAAGAGAAGAGAGAATAACCACTAAAGATATAACGGCTGTTACTGGTTATACAAGAAGGATCTTCCCTCTTAATCAGAGAGTCTATCTCTGAAGGGATCCTTTCCATAATGTTGTCAGACACTTAGAATAACAATGTGGGCCAGTCAGTGGCAAAACAAAGCATTTTTAGGACGTACATTGATATGCACATTGTCCCCCAAGGATTACGTTGCACAAAGCAACCAATTCCAAACTTTTGGAACTATTAAAAAATATCGGAATTACCGTTTAACCATACCAAAACCTTAAGACTTAAACATTTAAAGCTACACAGGAAGAAACAGAGTGGAGTTTGAAACAGCTCTATTTGATGCCCCCTCTCCTAGTCTTTCCCTTCACACACTTATCTGCTTTCTGAATATTTCACCACGTTGTTCTATCAGTCCTCCACTAGCGTACAGGGTCTGTTTTCTTCATGTCCCTCGAGCACCTTGCCTTTCACCTGGCTCTTTTCTAGTCCTCTCAGGATTTTTATCTACTACTATAGGAGCTAATCTGTGGCACGCTGTGTGTTTCTGTGCAGCAGGCAGAGGAGGTTGCACAGACGGAGGGCTCCCAGCAGCTCCACCTGCAGCCCAGCGACTCGTCGGAGAAGCAGCAGCCCAAGAGGTTACACGTCTCCAACATCCCTTTCCGTTTCCGAGACCCTGACCTCCGGCAGATGTTCGGGGTGAGATGACAACTGCACCACACACACACAATTTTACTGCTTCACTGTACGGATATACCATACACTGCAGGGCAATATATCCAGTTGGAATCATTCACTTTAGCGTACTATGCAATACTCCTGCCTGTACTTTTCAAGAACACAGTAGCAAATGCAGACAAAACAAGATATTTTAAGAAAAATCTAATACTAGAATTGTCAAAGTAAAAGTAAATCATAAATGGGAGGTCAAAGGCAGGTATGAGCAGATTACATACCTCTCGTGTTTCTAATATGGACTGTGAAACTGGCAGAAGGAACCGCTAGTTTGAAATCTAGAGCTGGTAATCTTGTTTCTTATGTAAAATAGGTTTTGTAGCCTACTTTCCTCTATACAGTATTAAAGTATTAAATCATGTTTCAGGCAGTGTACATCAGGTATTCCATAGGATGCTTTTCAATGCACCAGCCACTACCACTATCACTACAGCCTTGCTCCATAATGCTGTAAATAATTCACGGCTTTACCTCTGTATGGCCCCTAACCCAAATTAGGCAGAGCTTATTAATGTTTCATCTTCGGTGCCCGTCCTTAAGTGGTCCTTGGAGAGTCGGAGTTGTGGATAGGTGGATGCTGCAATTCTTTTTATCTGTGTGAAAGAAACAGTTCAACAGCAACAGTTAGTGCATAATGCTGGAAATGTACAAAGCAGAAATTACAGAAATAATAGGATTTTAAAATCCTGCATTATGGCAACTTAATCCACATAGTAGGTATTCAGGTGAACTAAATAAAGACCACATGTATCATGAAATGGTTATATTGCATCAACACCTCTAGATGTTGAATGTTTGGTTGGGTATACAAAGTGTGAGACTTTGACTATTTGCATGACTGTGATCTTTCCTTTCCAAGTACCTTTAGTTGTCTAAATGTAACCGGAACTTAACCATAGAAGTGGCACATGGAAAATGCTCATATGAGTTGTTAATGCGACATATGGATAATTTAAGAAGGTACTCCACAAAAGACCTACTTTGTTGTTTAGGTATGAGGAGTGTTGCGTATGGAAACAGTAGCCTTTAACAGCTGATAGCAGTAAATCACTAGACACAGGTTAATTCCACTATTGATCTGATTTGTAAATGACAGCTAATATTTAATTAATACTAGAATTCATTAATGACTAACAACTATATTTAGTATCTTAAGGAAAAGTCCCACAGAGTTTTTCCTGTTAGAGATGGAAACATGTGGCTCCACATGACAAAAAATTTAAATGTTTGATGTCACGTATTGTATTGTCACCATGCCTGAATTAGTAAACAAAAGTGAATTTTCTTTTATAAATGCAAAATAACAAAAATCAGTTTAACATTGATATGTTAAATATATTAAATACTATTTACATCAGACATATAGTATTAAAATGTAAGTTGTTTTGGTTTTATGGTTATGATTACATGAAATGGCAATATTACACATCCTGTCTACATTCACTTGTAATTCAGTCAGAAATATGTGCTGTCTTAAAAAACCTTGGAATCTTGACTAGTAGCTGAAATAAAGTTTTGGTTTGGTGGCATTGCATGCATTTGAATCATGAACCTACCTTACCTGATAGATGTCAATCTCTACAACTCTGTTCTGGAATAGAAAAGACACTAGGACAATCAGTTAACCATGTCACAGCATACAAAGAAATAATGTATACAATTAAGCCGACAGGTCACTTGAATGTTGACCTATGCTTGCACCTCCACTGTGAGACATTATTTCCTTCAATTTAATTGTCTTTCATGGCGCTGCAACTCATGGTTTAACAGCAGGTAGTGACGCGGTTGTACACCCTTTATAGTTCCCTCCCTGTTTGTTCTCTTTAGATCAAGTGCAACGTTTAGATGACATTAACTATAGATGCAGTTCACTGTGTTCTTAGTGGAATGTCTCACTGCGACATGGCATAGAGAGGAGTCTCTGCCTCGCAAATTGCAGCTCTGCATGTTTGATTACCAAGGGGAAGAGAGAGAGGGGGCAGCTAGTACCATGCTTGCACAGGAAACACTGACCGCCTAATTCCCAAACTGCTGCGAAAACACACATCGTAGAAATCAAGTTCTGTGTGTGTGTGCCCAAGCTTGTTAAAACACTGCCCAGCCAAAGCCGCTCAAGTGTTTACTGATGATGAAGTCTACCTACCTACATACACACAGGCACATTACTGAATATAGATTTACTGACACAAACCCAGTGCTAACATTTCATATAATAGGAGGCTGGAGATTTACCCCCCTCTGACACCACCACCCAACTCCCTGTTCCTCCAATGGAGTGGAACATCTGCTCCTGCAGGCACTTTGTTCCAAGAGAAGGGGAGCCGGCCCCGCTCGCTTTCCCCAGCCTCGGAGCGCTTGATGTGGGGAAAAGAGGAGGGGATGGAAGGGCCCGTCAGTGGAGACACAATTAATGGAATTCCTCAGCAAGGTTAAAAGGGAGTTTATCCTCATTAGGTGTATATTGGGTGACAGCTCCAGTTATGGGTGCGAAGTGGGTGCGAAGTAGGTGCGAAGTAGGTGCGCGTGTGTGTGCGTGTTTGTGTGTATTCTTGAAAAGGAGTGGAACTTTCTCCCAACTGATTCCAGTCACTTTTAGTGAGGTCTCCAAGGCACTGAGCACTGCACCACAATTAACCAGTGACATCATCAGGTGGAGGTGGAGTGGAGAAGGAAAGAAGCAGAAGAGTGGGATTAGAACAGACAATGCAGCAGCTCTCACCACAATCAGTGATACTCAGAGGTCATCCAGCGCTGTTAAGAGCACCATCACAGAGACTGAAGATCCAAATCACTGGGACTCAGGTGAACTGGAGCCATGCATCAAACTTTTTCCATCAAAATATATTTTATTTTCACTGAAAAATGGTTTTATGAAGAAAAATACAAATTACATTCAATTAAAATGTATGGAATAATTCTGATTTATTACAACTTATTATTATAGTTTTGACCATCTTTCCTGTCAGTAATAGCAACATTGGATTAATTCAACATAATGACAATTTTACATGTTGGTCTCATGTCTGAAGTAGCTGCAGAGGCAGGTTTACAAAAGATTAACAGTGGCAGTCTTACTAGATCAGACCCGTAACATTTCTGTAACCCTTTTTTACAAGTCTGAATTGAATATCAAAACTTTAATTTCAAGGCTATGCAGGACCAAGTGTCCCGGAAATAATAATAATGCATTTCATTATTCAATAATTATTTGTACAATGAAAATAGACATTAATACATTGGTTTACAAGTTAATTTATTCATCTATAAATTAATAGACTAAACAACAAAGTAATCCATTATTTGATATATTAATGGTCAAAATAATAATAATAATATTAATAATAATATAAAAAAATAATACATTTACAAATGTACAATAAATAGTTTAAATTAAAACGGTATTTACATAAACAAAATAAAACAGTCAATGAGTACATAATTTCAAACACAATGTTGCAAAAGAAAGCTAGGGTATGAGGCAGTTGCAGCTCAGAGAGCTTGTTACATTCCATGGCTAATTTGCGTTGTTTTACCTCGTTTCACTGGCACAAAGCCCACAGAAGGGCTAAATGGAGAGGCCAAATGACTAAGCAAATCAAATAGCTAATAGGAAATGCAAAAGGCAAAGGAAATTGCACATTTAAATTCCTGATTAAAATCTGTATTCTTAATTCAATTTGTAAATCCAGTTATTTTTTTCTCCTTTTAAACTGCATTTCAAACAGATTTTTAAATTACATAATTTGTTTATGAATTTATTTAAGTGTTTTTAACTGACTGTTTAATTTGTTTTTGTAAATTCCTTTTAAATTTGAACTAAATCTTTTTTATAATTTAATATTATTATTATAAAATAAAATATAAAATAATAACTTTAACTGTTAATTTAGTGTATTATCTATTTCATAGATCAATAAAAATAATTTGTAAACAAATGTATTGAAGCCTATTTTTATTTGGCAATTAGTTATTTATTAATGAAATTATTTATTACTATTTCTGTGAGAAGTGTGTTCCTCCATAGGGTGCACCTGCTCCGTGTTAAAACAGAGATACTAAATGCACATATTGTTCACCTTATCGAGAGCAGTTTAATAAGTTTAACACTTAATTATCATCTCTTATGCACAAAGAAAACAAAATAATTCAAACTCGGTGAGTGAGCCATTATGAAGCTACTGAGGACATTCTTCTGATTTCTGATCAGTTTATTAAAATGATTTGATGATGATCAGACTTCATTGTACTGATGTCATTGTGTTCCCAGACCTCAGCTACTGACTCGATCAAGGACATTTATTTATCATTATACAATCATTATAATTTAAAACATTATACAACAAAAGTGTGTGGCCCCTTCATGCTACACACGTAGATAAAGATCATGACATTTATTAGAATAACATATAAAATAAAACAACAAATACAGCTTTTATATACACATAGAGTACACATACACTTAAACACCCAAGAAATAGTTCTGCAGTGCATTTTTTAAAATTGCTTATTGGGGAATGCAAACAGCAGCAACAACATAATGATGAAAAAAGATGTATACAATATAACTATATAATTGCAGTTATAAATGATGGACAAAGCTGAAAATGCAACCCAGGATGTAAATAAACCAAAGATTCCCTTACTCTACCCGTCCCCCATCTGGAGATCTGTCTGCTCTTGAAAACACAAAATGAGAAACTATCAAATGAGAGTTGCTTTTAGCGTTAAGCCAAGTTATAAGTCTAAATATAGTTTTAAATTTTATGGAATTCATAGCAGCAGATATTTAAAGTTGTGTGGTTTAGGCAAAACTTAAAGGCATGTTTCTTTCTCTGTTTCCCCTTTTTACTTTTATGGCATTTTATTTTGGCAAACAATCAGTGTTGCAGGGTTACTAGAAAAGTTTTGTCTCGAATGCTGACTTCACCAGTGACTTCCCAAACTGCTCTTTTTGTCACTTCAGC